ATTGTGTGTGTGTGTGTGTGTGTGTGTGTGTGTCATGGCGAATTTTAAAATATGCTTGGCCACAACACTTTTAAATGGAGTTTAAAGTGACATAAAATAACATTTATTTATTTCATTCATAACATTCAAAACAATCTTACACAATTTTTAAATTGCTCACAAAATCAGAGAAATAAGTCTCAGCTTTTAAAAATACATAAGGAAAACAGCATTGCTACAAAAAAAAAAATAGAGTTATATTTTGCTCTTGAAGATCAAGTCTTCTTCTCTCATCATACAATTGCATAGATTTTACACTCTTGAATACACTCGCACTCACTTATCACACTCTAAAACAGGCAACATGTCATTTTCTATACTCCATATACGCATTGATATATTCCCATGTGCCCCATTAGAAAAATTACTAAAAGGCCCACCCTAAAACTTAACATGAATATTTCTATCTAGCCATCGCACCACGGCACTACAAACAACATTGTGGCGCTACAAATGTAGTGTTGTTGCACTCTAATGTGTCATACGTCAAACGATTGAGTTGCAAGCACTTATTTCCTTAAGAATTAGGGTTGTCGTGCTCGGATGACAAAGTTTTAGTGCTAGATGTGGTGCTACGATGTCATAAATTTAGTTTTTTTCTCCACTGTCGTCTCCTTCAGTACTACAGCGAAACTAATCTAGTGGTGCAACATTGAGCTCTTGGACATTTAGCTAAAGAAATGATGCTTCAAGTGATGTTATGTGTTGCACCTAGGGTTGCGATGTCAATAAAACTTTCTTTTATAATTCTCTTTTTTACTATCCCAGTCCATGTCCCGTCATAAAAATACAAAAATGATGTACTAAAGATGCCTTAAAACATAAGATTTTTGCATATTTCAATCATAATTTTAAAGCACTAAACTCACTTAGAAATTTCACCCAAAATTCACATATTAATTGTCCTCAAGTAATCTTGAATATAACGTTTCATCTTCTACTCCATAAATAGAAAGCTTTCTTAAAATTTAACTTCGTTGAATAATAATTTTAGGTAACATTAAATCCTATATATGAAATCATTAATGATAAATGCTAGTTAACCCCAAATTGTCAAAATTCTTATTTTCATTACAATTCATGTGAATCATAATTCCTAACTACTTCATTACATAAATAACTGACTTCAATAATTTTTAAATAATAAAATCATACTAAACTCTTGAACATAATCTTTTCGAACCATCATGCAGACATTCTATTAAAATTCAAGTAAATTAGAAGTTGATAGACCTTTGTTAAATACAATCTATAATAATAAATGACATGAGCAAATACATTTGTCATGCTCAAGATGATCATAATTATTAACTAAGTATTTTTAACTTTTATTTAGAATTCAATCTACTCAACCTTTTCAATTTAAGCTTTAGAAATTTGCAAGTTTGATTAATTAAATTCATTTTAAGTCACAAACCAACTTCGATCACTACAAAGACAAGGAAATAGTATTGCATGAGAAATTAAAAATAACTCAAAAAACATCCAGAAGCAGCTTTGCAGTGTCGTAATTTTAACAATTTGGCACTATAACATTCACTGATGGGTACAAGATAGATACAAATTTGCAACTAAACATGACTTTATATTATAATTTAAAGTACAAATTACAATAACAAGCAAAGCAAATATAGAGCTACAACAAAACAAACAATTCAGAGTCTCCCAAACTAGCATTTCACTAATAATAATAATAATAATAATAATAATACAAGAAATAAAAGAAATACAATCTTAAGAGACAAAAATCACTCAAAATCCTCCTCATCCCCTTCTTACCTCCGGGGCTAGCATGGTCACACATAAGGCTGAAAGGGGAGAAATTATTCCATACGAACAGCGCATCTAGATGCATGCACAATCCGATCTCGGCCGCCAATCACAGCTTTTTTTATTTTTATTTTTTAAAAAAATAAGACACCAAAATACAATATTGTTGTGATCGACGGTCGAGATCGAACAGCGAATGCATAAATACATACACTGTCCGTATGAAATAATTTTTCCTAAAAGAAGTGTCATAAGAAACTCATCATCTCCGCATATTTAAAATATACTTATATGCGGTCTTACCCATATATATGATCATTTCCACATAATTCGGGATTGCCCTATCTCAAGATGATTCATTGAACAAATATTATAAAATGCCATGTTCATATCTTAGTAACTAATAAATTTCCCCAACTGATTGGGATTATTTCAATCAAAATAAAATTATTTAATGATTTTTTAAGTCATTTGGTATGCAAAATTAAGTCTTGAGACTAACGATAAAACATTCAATATTCCATACCAAAATCTCATCACTTAAAGATAATCAAAATTAGAAATTTCGATTCAATAATGACTTATTCATTATATGCTATTGATATTTAAATTTTCTTTATATTCTGAGGGATCAATAGGTAATATCAGTCGACAAATATTAGTTATGGTTGAATTACCTTTATCATTACACACTTTCCCAAGGGGTTTTTAGTGGAATTCTTCCATGCCCAAAGAGTGTGGTGTAACAGGACAAGTTATTAAAAGATGGTTTGCATACATGATTCAGATTCACAGCCCAGCCAGTGCAAATATAAGGTTAACGGAAACGCTACTTCTGAACATAAAGTTAGGACACAATTAGCTACTTCGGCTGAAGTATAATCTTGGTCAGGTAGACCATACAGAAGAAACATTCTCCCAATAAACAAAAATAGAGAAGATGCAACCAAATTACCTGAAAAAGTCCACAATTGATTTCACTACTGCTTCTAGAGATGGCCACTGCCATTTTGAAGAGTTTTATTGTTGAAGTAAAGACACACTGACAAGCAGCAACGTCATAAAACTGCAAACTGTTCACTTGCGTTCTCGAAAGAGTTATAAAAACCAACTATGAACATTACCACGGATTTTACAAAATGCAAGTGAAATGTCGGTCACAATTTTAATTGGGCAGAGTACTCGTTACATTAGACGAGCATGAAGTTCCAAGAAAATCTAACAGCGAACATATTCTAGGGTATTGAAACAACCTATCAATGAATAAGGTCATCTGATTATTAAAAATTAAAAGCATGCCAGCTCCCAAAAAACCTATACTGATGAACGGCGGTTTATACACAAAATGCTTAGAAGCTGACTGTTAGCACGAGAGGGGCTGAAGAGAATCTGAGCACTAACAGACCATGATGTGATCAATAATGAAACAATTTATCCTTGCACATTCTAATCAATGTTCATTATATACGCCTATCGATCTTGCAGGTAACCACGGAGAGGCTAGATTGCCATTATGAAGAATGTCCTACAAAAATTTCTGTGCTCCATACCTCTGAATAATTAGTCATGTTGAAGTCAATCAAACATAAAGGTTGAAGTGGATTAAGATCTATTGTGTTGATTGTGTCTCTGAGGAGCTGGCTTGAACCCTCTTGTAGAAGAGAACATAAGCAGCAGATGTCTTCAGACTGTCCAGGGATACATGAGAAACATGGCGGTCATCGAAGTCATACCACTTATCCTCTGCATTATGCTGCAATATCACCGTACCCATCATTATGAGCATCTTACGTGTATAGTTAGCATAAATCAGTAAGCTATTAAGTTTTTTATAGAGGTTTCCGCTAATTACTATTCTCTTTTCTACACAAAGAAAACAAGGTGAATCATCATTGCATGTAAGGCATGTAAGTTACAAGTTTTTTTTGGTTGAGGACTAGGCGCTCAAAAATTAAAGATACCCCCGACTAAGCTTTCTTCAAAAGATGCTGGCAAACCTAAAGACCCGTTCCAACCTGAGATCTCCCAGAAAAAAATTTGCAGTTTATATCATGAGGTATTGCAATGACAAAGCCCCATACACCATTCCTACTATGGGAGCTGAGCTAAGATGCAGGTGGCCTAATGGTTAAGCAGATAAGCAGTTCAGGTTTCAAAGCCTAATTGGCATGAGGATGATCTTCACAAGGAGATCTCTATTTTGCAAAGAAAAGATGAATGCATTTTGCACTTATGTTCTAGCTCGGTCATATATTTATGCGAGCTACAAACCAAAGTGATTATCATATTTCTCTCTCGCTGTTGCCAATTACACCGATATACCAAATTAAACACCCTTGGTGAGTACTATATGTCCTTAGCACCTCAACCCATTTCAACAACAGTAACCTACAAGGTCAACAATTTACCAGAATCTAAATAAAGCAAGATTCAAAAATATGTGAATTTGGCCCATTAAATAAGCAAACCTATATGACAGCCGTGCAAGATATAATTATATAAACGTAATTTCTGCAAAAAATAAAAGCCAGCTAAGGAAATGCATCTCATGAAAAAGGTATAACAAGCAACTTACATGAACGTAAGCAGTATAATGACCACCTCCCATGTTCCCGTAGTGGTTGCTAATAGCATATAAGTCATATTTGTTTTTTAGTTCTTGCGTCTTGGAGACAATATAATTCGATAGATCCAATCCCTTAATGGGAAAATCCACGAGAGTCTCCAGCTTGTTCTTTGTGTACCGGTTATAAGAAAATCTTTTTAGATGAATAACAAGAACCTCTGGCAGCCTCCAGAGATCAAGTTTCTTGCTAGCCTGCTGATGCTTCTTGCAACTGGGGCAGTACCTGAAAAATCAAAACAGAAGCCATCACTCCACATAAAAAATAAATTTCTTGACAATTTATACAAGCCATTGATTTATTTCGCAGTGTGGAAAACATTATAGGAAGAAGACTACCTAATTAGTTATTAGGTCAAGTTTGGAAGATCGTATGACCCATGGGTTATTCCACATTGACAAGTTCAGGAAAATATAGCCAACCCCCACAAGTAGTAAAAACCATCATGAAAAGGATAAGAACATCAAAAGCATATGTGACTTAAAGGCAGTTGGAAAAAAGATGTTCTTACCAACTTGTCTACCAAAGAAAATTCTAATAAATAAACTAAGAGAACATGTAAATTTTAGACTCATTGACTCAAGCATGAACATCTTTGAATGCATTGGTGAGTAGTTGTAAAGGAGAAGCCAAGGAAACATATGAGCTCATAAGCCCCATTAATCGACAAGAAAGAGCTGGTCCATCATTTCCATAATTCTCTCACAGAAAGAAGTGAGCAAAACCATATATATATATATATATAGAAGAT